ATAACCAACTTTTCTCTCTTTCCGCCCTTATCGTTTACCAAAATTGACGGAAGATATAATCGAGTTTCCAGAAGAACTGAAATACTTGTTCGCCAGGTTGTTGATTGTATTTTAGTTACGCACATGAAATTCCAGAAAAAATGTTTGGAATATTATTTTGGTTGTATTATAAAGAAACTCTGAAGCTTGTGTTCTATTCAATCTGGTTTTGAGTTCCTGTTCCCAACCAGAAAAGAACACTGCTCAGTTAGATTTGCGACTGCATCGGAAGTGGACGCAGACGGTCGTTCCCGGAAACGGAACTTCCTTGCCCCGCGGCAATGCCCGTTTTTGAGGGGGGGGAGGTCGAAAACGGTTTCTGGTCGTTTGTGTGTGTTTGCTGTAGTCGATGGTGACACGAGTTCTTCCACGAGTGTAGGGAAAGTTTAAAGCTGTACCATTCGGAAAGCTTTCCTTCTGATGTAAGAAAAAGAGTTGTCGATGACGTCGTAATTCGAGAAAATCAAGACCATAATTTTATGGGTTCGGGTCTTAGCCCGCGTCCAATGTCCGAAAGTATAGAAATTATATTTATGGAGAATTGTCGTCCTGTTAATAAAATCATATGAATTTAATACCTGATTTATTATAAAATTGCAATAAAAATTTATCAAGAAAACACTTTCCAAATCATAATATTCTGATATTATGAATTCTTGTACTCTACTATTCTTGTACCGTCCTGTACAGTACAAAATCCTTTCATGTAAGAATAAAACGAGTGATTAGATTATCTTATAGATTCCGTTGGGAGTAATTTCTGACCACGAATACCTCTATATATTTATAGAATATTCGCTCATTTTGTTTACTATTGGCATACATTTCCCTCATATTCGTACAACAAATAGGTATTTCTCCTATGTATCGTAATAAACATTTCAATAATGAAATTTAGTAATATCCATTCTCGATCTAGAGGAACTTTCTTGACATAAAAAATAAGTATCTTATCAACTGAACATCAACTTTTTGTGCTTTCCCTAATTCTTATGAAAGCAATTTTAGTACTCAATTTATAAATTACTGTAGATATAGTAAACAAAGTCGCAAACATCATACTATGAGAACCAAGTGCAACTGACGCAACTTCCAGATCCCCTCATGTATGTCAAATATAGTCATCTTACGGGTTACTGATAAAATACCTGAAATTCACTACGCATTGTACTGATTCATGAAAATTGTTGTAGTTTTTTTAAGAGTCTTCGGGATGTCAATTGACGTAACCTTTCCAAGCTTCACAATCAGCCCTCATGCGTACAGAAGACGAAGGACAGAAGATTGACAGGTGAAGTTTTCGAACACGAAATCCCTATTCACACATTGCCATCCTCTGACTAACAATGCGAATTGACCTGTTTGCCAGCTACTGTCGGAGACGGCGCAGATTAGAACCGTCTCGCGTCCCTCGGTGCTTAGCGACAATGACATAACGCCTCACGTCGCTTACGTGCTCGGGTGCGTGTTCCCTGCTCTTCACCTGTACCACCGCTTCTGACGTCACAAGCGTTGCTTCGGCCGAAGTCCGACTGGGATGAATATATATGACCGGTTGGCACAGCAATAAACTTCACGACTATTGATTCATGTCGACCCGCACCTATCGTAAATTTCTAAGTACTTATTGTTAAACAATTATTGCATTCATTACTTTATGAAGAAATATAGTAAATGGGCTAAGAAATAATGTTGTGCAATATAGGGTTGTTTGATAAGTTGGGTAAAACTGGAACAAAGAATTATTGTTTTTGAAAAAGCTCACTTTCTTTTTCAACATAGACTTCTAGGTCTATGTATTTGGTTCAGCGTGTTTCCAAGTTTTTCATCTCATTTTAGAAATAGGTTTTGTCAAACTCTACGAAATTCACAGATACAGCAGCAATCACTTTCTCATTTTTTCCCACTCACCAACCCAAACTTTTAAGTTGGGGAGGAGAAATAAAACAACCAGGGCTAAAACCTGCGAGTATGCTGGATGAGGAACCAATTCGAAACCAAACTGATGTAATTTTGCCATTGTTATTGCTGTCGTGTGGGAGCTCAACTGACCGGCCGGAATGCACTTCATCGTTTGTGCTTCTGCGACCACGTTTTAACTTATTAATCCATAATTAGATTGTCTTCAATGATAGTGCCGAGTTCCCATGTACTTCATCTAATTGTGTTTTATCTGCGCTGCAGTTCAACCCTTCAAATAAAAATGTTTAATAACAGCACGAAACTCTTTTTTGTCTATCTTGAATGCCGTACGACAAGCTCACAAATTCCTCTGGCTGCCAACAAATAACTGTGTCACATTTATTTGAAAATTCAAGCAATTTCCTAACAAAAGTCATGCTTCTAACATTGCCGATATTTGACGACAATTTGCGCTCTTCATAGAAATTTACTACACTTATCTAATGATCTATGTATTTAAAATAGTGCATTCCAACTTTAATTATTCTAGAAGTACTTAGAATAGACTCTCAAGACACTTATTCAAGTTATTTTATGTTACAATTCCAATTTTAAAAATATTTAACAGCAGTGACACTCTTGTTGGTATTTCACTTTCGTGTAATGGAATGTGCAGAAATCAATTTCAATACCCGGAATCGTTTTGTTTTGTCACAATGCCTCGTGAAGGTAAAATGAATTATGAAGTTTAAACCGACTGAATAAGGAGAATAGAGAACAACAAGCCGTCACTCCCCCGACGACAAGACGCAACACGAACAGCCCAGGAAGCACGATAAGGCGCTTACTACTTGTTAAAGGAGTTACGAAGGAGATACGCTTTCATGGCCCCCTCGCGTAATGGCCCGTGTATCTCGTGAATGACTGCGGCGCGGCGCGGCGCGGCGCCCAAAGTGCTGGGAAGACGTTTCCGAGTGGCCTCTTTGTTCGTCGACCGCACAGCGTCCGCGATCACCTGGCGACCTTCGAGGCGCAGTGCACCAGTGCCCCTGAATGCGCTCCCAACTCCCCTCTTCCCCCACTCCCGCCCCCGCCCCCGCGCCCGTCTCGCCGTCAACCGCATCCGCTGCCTTTGCGCAGCAACAATGGGCTCGCGACGTCCGCTCCCAGCGATGCGCCGCTTTGGGAAAGACGAGTGCAACACGAAGCTCAGGCGGCTGTTCGAAATGAAATACGTCGCAAAGGTAGATATAACCCCGTGGTTGCGAAATAGCTCTATTTGTAAGGCAAGATATATCGTTTTATAAGGAATGTAAGTAAGATATTTTGAAAAATGTCATTGGCATAATGAAGTGCTTGGAGAAGAAATATTTACTGAGGCTATTCGTCAAGTTGGAAGAGAAAAATAATTACATACTAGTCACAAATCAACATTTCAAGAAGGTATAATATCGAGTAATTGGAAACTGGAAAAATGATAGGAAACACACGGTCTTTAAGTATCTTCCTCAAGCTGCTAAAATTGTACACGAACTACTTCTGTCCAGGAAAAGAGAGATTCATTATTATAGTTTACTTGTACGCACCTTAATTGTGTGAACGCTTAAAATGAGTAACACTTGTGGAAAATGACTTACAAAACCTGTTTAATGTGATAGGAAAGAAGTAACGTGGAGAACTAAATCACTGAACAGCCGTGGTATAACTCGGAATCAGGTGCAAATCCAACGATATTTAGTTAGTGCATACTTAAACTGTGTATTGTTTCAGAAAATATATCATTTTGATAACAAATATCTTCAGTTGTGAACATTTTCCCCGTCGGATGCCGTAGGGCTCCAACACTACCCAGCTGGCGCGAGCACCTTCCAGGCCAAGGCCTGCGCCATCGAAAGGCGAACCCTGGCCGCTCGCGGAAGGCAAACGGGCAGGGCTCGCGTCGCGGCGGACGAGGGCGAGCGGGCGGAGAAAGTGATGCTCGGCCCTCTGCCATTGTACGAATTCCGCCTTTGTCCCCGCACGGCGCGGCGCGCCGCGGCGCCCACCTGTGCTCGCTGCCCGCTGCCCGCGCGGCGCCAGACGGCGGCGCGGCGGAACGCGAAGGTGGCGGCGGCGGCGGCGTTGCCGCTTGCGTCGCCTCGCCGCACCGCGCCGCCCTCCCCTCCGGAGCTACTGCCCACTGCAGCGCGGAATCTGCGATGCGATCGCCGGGCCGAGTGATAGAGGCGAATGGGAGACGAGGAAAGTTGGAAATGGTTAAGACCGCTGGAAGAAAGTATTCAGAGGACCTAACTTTTGATAAGTGATAGAAAGTCATTTGCTATTCAGATTGTGTGGAATTCGTGTTTGCGTATCACTCGTAAATTGGTGACTGTTCTGAAACACCGCATGAAGTAAATTTTCAGCGTGTTGAAATAATCTTAGTATAAAGTAATTTTTTGAACAAGATGAATCCTGCAATTACAGATATGTAGATACAAGATGTAATTCAAAGATCACAAATATTCTCATAAGTTTAAATTGACCTGAATGTATTTACATACATATCTCCTATAACTGTACTCCGAATAACTATAACCTGTTAATATTAATGCCTACTGGTGTTGTTACACCCACGACATTGTCCAAATTCTACGGACATTTTGAGAAATACTATAACCCTATGAACTTTTACTTGTATTTCATATATAGCGAAAAACTTCCATTAGGATTGCATATGAAATTAGAAAAGCTAAATAATAGGAAAGTAGGAGCTAAATTAGGAAAGCACAATAGAGTATCGTCAAAATAAAACATCTGAACTATCCAACTCTCCAACAAACGCTATTATCTCTCCAAACAGTTAGTTGCATCGTTAAATTGTAATTAATCTTTTAAACTAGATAGTAACTCGCCTGAGGTCTTCCGTAAAACCACAAAATATATTGTAATAAAAAAATCTAATCGAACAGTATCAAAGTCAGAGACTTCTTGTGGAAACTGACCACAAACATTTTGGTCCGCCGCACACTTGAGCAATCGTCTGTGCAAAATAAAAAGCGAATGTCTTGATGATCGAGTCACGTACAGCCAGAGAACAGGAAGACGTTAACTTCGACGATGGGGTAGATAATCAACTGGAGAGCCACATCCTTTTCCAGATGCTCTACATATCCAACAACCAAGGAGGTAATTCCTGCTATTCGTTTACGAACGTTGCAGACACTTGACTGGGTGCCTCCGTTGGCCCCTGCAGCCCGCGGGCATCGCTCCAAGTGAATCTCCTCGCCCACGGGCGAGGGGCGGTACACGCACGCTTGAAGACCCATATCTTTCTAATGGACTATGCTTCATTCAGAAAAACATTGTAGCATATGTAGGGTCTCTATATGGCAAAGGTTTACTAGCTTTGTCATCATCTGTTTTCAAATTCACGGTTGTTCATTTGGCATTTTGATATTCCTTGAAAGATAATCAAATTCTTGTAACGTGGGCAATACAATTCAAATTAGTGAATCAAGCGAAACCATAAAATTTCAAAACACTGTTTTGTTCCATTATTCGATTTTTTGCCCTTATACTGTTCACATTTTTTATTTTTTAATCCATTTTCATGAAATTATTTGCAAATAAGTACTTTAACATTGATGAAAACAGGAACAATATTTCAGAAGCTAATGATTTTCATATAAAAGAGTTTCATTAGCTAGTTTTGTACATTCTGTAGTTTAGCGCAACTACTGTCAGTTATTGTATTCTCCCAGTAAATATATTTAATATTTCCTTGTTTGGTAAGTTCTCATCTTCCATCACGTTATTATTTGCTTCAGTAAAGAGTGAAGTACTGAAGACCGCCTCACTGAAGACCACGAAGCAGGTTGTCGGGAAACCAAATAACTGACTGAACGGAATCCAAATCTAGCAGAATTTGAAGGAAACGCCGTGCCATTTCTTTGAAAGTAATTATATAATTTTTATTGTACTTATGACATGTGTCAAAATTCGAGAACTGACTCCAGTCCTGGGAATTTTCAGCCTCTCCTTAAACAAAGTTAGGCTCAAAGATGTCATCTCTCTTTGGATGTTTGATTACATGTGGCCTCTTTAAACCAATGACAATTTTAATCAACACAACTTCTGCGAGTCACCTTATCTCTTTACTATAGTACTCCTTGTGGTATCTAATCATATTCACAGACTGTACCATACGAAATGACTGCCACCAAGGTTCCTATATAGAGTGTATCGCATTACATTGCGCCACCGATTTTGCCATATTGTATCCAATAGTCACAGAGCTCCAATTACACGGTGAGAGAAAATACACCATTGATTAATAAACCAATAATAATATACTCTAAAATCCACCATACTTTTGATTGTTATCACTTCTCCTTCACCCGCGTCTGGGGGTGCGATTGGAAGCGAGAATATCAAAAATTCGTTCAGATTGCGTTTCTCTCTGCATCTAGTGACTATATGCAACCCACGTCCAAACATTGCACGGCGGCGAGTATCTGTTTTGGAATATGGATGCGACATTGATGTGGATGTTTTCAAAACATCGATGCTTCTTCAAAAGTATCGATGTTTTAAACATCGATGTGCTGAAGCCGACATTTTTTGAATATCCATGTTTTGGGTTCCATGTTTTTACAGTTTTGATTTTTTGTTCATGGATGAGGAATGCCCACAACCACTATTTTGTAAAAATTAAAATATGAAAAAATAATAACTGACGGCATCACTTTTTTGTGTTAGAACCAAACGAACACGTTCTGTATTAGCTTGGAGCAGACTACAATTCCTCGCCCGAGATGATCCAGATGCTCTGACATTTGCTTCGTCTTTCCTCGTATTTTTCACATGTGGAGTTGTTTTTAAATATTATTTTTACTTTAAAATTAAAGTTATGACAAATATCAAATTTAATTTTGTTTATATATAATTGTCACCTTCCCGTCACTTTGTTGGGCGTAATCACGCTCGGAGGATATGATCCGCAGTCGTAAAGAAATCCAAATTACATCATGTTACTGAGTAACAATGCATTTTAATGATTAAATCAATTCAAAGAAGTTCGGGGCAACCAATTGTGTAAACCAATTTAATTATTTAATTTTGTTGCGCACGAATTTAATGTTAGCTAAATTTAAAAACCGGTGTATAAAAATATCCATAGATTTCTCTCGAAGTATTCTTAACATCGATGTTTTAATTTGGAACATCGATGTTTTGTGTCAATGTAGCATCACTATCTTCGAGGTGGGATAACCCGACGGATGACGCTGACGCGCTACGTGACCGCGGCGAAGGGAGCGGGGAGGGGCGGCGAGGGCCTGGCTGGAGCACGTCGCGATGTGGGCACGTGCCGTTTGCAAGACGCGCGAGTTGCTTGAAACGCACGTTTCTCTCGGCCCTCCCAACCTTCTCACGTCCCTCCCAAATCGGTCACGCCGACTTGATAGCTCAGCAGCAACACCGTGACATCTGCAGCATTGTTGACTGGGAAATCCCACGGCTCGGGTCCCGACGATGGCTGATTTTCGACCCCTGTAACGGAATGGGTCGAATTCAGTGTATGTTTGGAGCAGAATTCTAGCGACCAGCTGCTCTGATCTGTATTTTTCTGTATTGTTTATCGATCAATACCTGACGAATGCCTGACGCGAAAAAACGGTCCAAAGTCTCAGCGCGATCTAGCCTTCATCGACTTTTCTCTTCTGGTGCGCGAATATATACTCTTTCATACATATACATACTCTTTCACTTAATGCACCACACAACCACACATGTAGAGAGCTTCGAGCTTGCGGGATTGAGGGAGTGCCCCGCAGGGGAAAGTATCTGAAGGGGAAAATATTCCACAAGTCTGGTGAAGGTCGGCGACGGATCTCATGTTCAAGCGCAGGAGGAACTGCGCCACCTTCCGGCTTTATCATGCACTACACTTACGGAACTAATGAGCTACAACTGTTGGAATAAATAGTCACTAACCAGAATCGATGGTGCTGACTTTCAACTGTGCCGTTTCGATACCGTGGGAGCATCGTGTGGACGAACACACGTAAACACCGTGATGACAACGAGAATATCTAAGGAATGCAGAAACAGAGTCGTCGGTGTCATAAATACTTACACGAAGAATGTGACCGGAGTCTCGCGGAAGTATCGCTCCAGAATGTGAAGGACGTGGCCTAGAAGAGGATGACAATTCGGTTAAACAAATATCCTTTTGAAATGCGATCGAGCTGTTAGGACTATCTGTGCAACAGAAAACAATTCCACACCAACAACTTCAGTAATCGTAATCATTAAAAGCCAACAACGTTGATTGAGGTAAGAAGGGAAGACGATACACAGTAATGTAGCATTTAATCGAGAAAGTAAAGGAAATAGTTTTTTTTTCTCACTGCTTAATACGATCTAAGTAGGTCAAACGTCTTCTTAATCGTTCAGCAATTACTTATATGCTATTGTGAATTATTTCTGATCTTTCTCCCGGTGAAGAGACTTTTTGGTCAATGTGCCAGGAAGTACTAAGGGTTAATTTCTACAAAATCATTGAATCGGATATACTTTATATTGTAACAAATACTTGTTCTCTTGATGCCAACAATCCTATTAAAAATTAATAACTCCACCTAAATGTTTAATAATACAATTAATGTAGAGCACGTTCCCAAATGCTGATGTGTTTATTTAGAGTACTAGAAAGGGGTTGGAGAGATTACCTAGTAATTTAAAGGAAGTGGACGTTTGAAAGTAACAATCGGAAAAGTCACGACTTTACGTCAAAGAAACATCGCGTACCAGAGATCTAGCAAAACACAGCTTGCAGAGAATGGGAAAGCCTGTTATTTCACATTACAACACGGTAAATGACTCGCTCTGTTTTAGTTCGCAGTTTCAGCAGCGTTGACTGGCGGCGAATCTTGCGAGAAAACACGCGCTCTCTCTCTACGCACTTCGCCACCGCTCACGTATTTTGCGGAGCGGAGAGACGTTTGCACCCAGTATTTTTGGCTATCGAGTAAACTCGATGTTGTCTACTGGACATGAACAATTTAAATCGAGTCTATTTGATAATAACTGCTTCTGAAACATAACGCATACTAGCTATTGAAATGTAAGGAGATAAGAGTATCTTTCGAAACACATAAAATTGTCTTACGACCACCAAAGATGTTCTTGCATTTTATGTGACATGTCCTGCTGAATAACCACCTGAATATCTCCAAATTGTGTGAAAACGGTAACTTTGAAAACGCATTTTCTCCTTAAAAACTGTTAGTATTATATCTCATTTACATAGTTGATTGTAAAAATAAAATGAAGTTGAAGAAATTAATTAAAATAATATAACATAAGAAAAATACAATGTACCTCGAATGGTTATAGGGAAATATAATGTAATACATTATAAACCTATTGAATAAATAAATATCTCTCAAGTGCCTCCAAACGATTTCTGATAACACATTAACCCTTTTTTATTTATTTTCTACTTACAAAACGCTTATGTAGTTCACCATTGCAATAGAACGTTTGTTATTTCATAACAGTGCGAGACACAAATCACAGATGACGATATCACTGTCAAAATCGACGTTCAAATACTATAATACTAAAACTGCGAAGGTACATAATGTATAAGTTGGAGTATATTTTCAAAAACACGCGAGAAGGGAAGGCTATTCGGGCAGACGAGCAACCGTTAGCTCGGCAGTAGCCGCGATTTTCCACAGCGCCGCACCCCGCTCGCGCTGCCCCAACAGCCGTCATCGTTTCTCCGACAACAGTGCAAGGGAACTACTTTCTCTCGCGAGGGGCGGCGGTGGTAGCGACGATGGAGTTGGGTTCCATATTCGTGTTGTGCTCAACATCGCGACTCGCCGTCACCACCGCACCGTCGCCGCCCGCACCGCCTGCAGCACCACCTCTGTAGCCACCTCCTACATTGCGAACATTACCTGCACTCCTCCGCCTTCTCCTCCGCCTCCTCCTTCACCTCCTCGCATCCTCCGTCTCCTCATCCTCCTCCGCCTACTCTTCCGCCTCCTTCTCCGCCTCCTTCTCCGCCTCCTTCTCCGCCTCCTTCTCCGCCTCCTTCGTCTCCTCCGCCGCCTCCTCCTCCTCCCCTTCCTGCTTCTATTCCTCATCCTCCCCTCCCCCTCCTGCTTCTCCATCTCCTCCTCCACCTCCTCCTTCTTCTCCTCCTCCTTCTCCTCCTCCTCCTCCTCCTCTTTCACGGCCCCCTCCTCCTCCTCTCCTTCCCTCATCCACCCCTTCTTGCTCCTCCTCATCCTCCCCCTCTTCCTCCAGCTTCTCCATCTCCTCCTCCCCTCTTCCTCCTCCTTCGCCTCCGCCAAAGCCGTCTTCCCCGCCACCGCCACCACCGCCGTCGCCTATGGAATGTATGCCGCTGCATCCGCAAGCGAAAAAAGGCGGCGCCTGCCACCACGCATGACAACGACCTTTCACGTCAACCTATGCGGTCGCTCGCTCTTTGTAAGAATGCGGCGCCGCACTGCCACTACCTGCATCGGGCGCCGTTTTCCCCTCGGTCTAGCAATGCGCGCTGACCTGTGGTGTTGAGGGACGCAGTGTGAGAGTCGTAGGAAGAAAGCCAAGCGATAGGAATGTGGAACACGCCGGTGTAGACAAGACACGAGTTATGAGTGCGTAGGCAGCGATTCAAGTTTATAAAACTGATGGATCGATGACATGAAATGCGTTTTGTCTTACGTGCTTTTGCGGCTGTTTGTTCCTTCCTAGAACAGTTAAGATTTGAAATATGTAAGAACCCACTCCTGCTTCACATTTCCATTGAATGTCTAGGAGACTGAAGAATTTCTCTGCCAACAGTGAAGAAATAACGGGAACAAATAGCAGAAATTCTTAGTAAAATATTGCTGCAATAGCTTAGTTCTCACATAACTGTAAACAACACAGATAGATTACTTAATGGAGGTATAGCATCCAAATCTAATTTAAATATTTTCTTATGCATATCAGTAAACTATAGCAACGAATTCAAGGCAAATGAAGAGCAGAAATTGTTGTATGTTTATCCTATATGTGAACATGGGGAAAACATTTATTTTTCTTCTCCCATTTGTACGTTTGACCGCATCCTATTTGAGTGCTGAAGCAGGTAATTAAAATTGATGCTGTAGCATGATTTTTTCTTACATCGAACACAGATGCTCCTGATAACATTATTTAATTTTTTCCAGTATGTCAAATGTAGATAAAGAGTTCAAAATCCGAAAAACTAGAAAGGGGTCATTGGTCTCCCTGCGCGCCACCGACAGGCAGTAAAAAAAGGCCTAAAAAAGGAAAGGAATCGCTGTGTTGGGACTACGGACCCATGCGTCCGGCGAAGGGAGCGACCGAGAAAGCAAGGTCATCGGAGATGGCTCCCGTAATAGGGGGCTGGAATGTATAATAATACCTCACGAAACCTGGTCAGATCCCAGCACTCAAAAGAAAGAAATTGATACCGACTTCAGATTTTCTCCAAGTTCTTTGACAGAGAAAGATCCAAAAGTAGGTGTATATGGAGAGTGATTAACTTCTAGTGTTGCAGAGAAATGAATGTGAACTATTCATATCAAACGTAATTGATAATTGTCCCCAAAATTCCGATAATTTATTAGCATTGTTAATAAACAACCTCTAATCCATTGTTTTAATAATCTCCAAATTCGATGATAAGATGGAGATAAAAGGAAAACCCAGTATTTATCTCATCATTTGTTTTGTTTAACTTTCAGAAACAATCCACACCTACGACGTTTGAAGCAAAAACTGTAGAAACGAAATGTAAACAATCATATACTCAATAGATGAAAGGAATCTATATCGATATCATCAGTTCCTAATGCAATACGCACTAAATGCAATCCACACTAACTGATTATTTGTCATTAACAGAAGAATGAGGGAAATAGCGACGAATGTCATTGTACTCTTGGTAACGTTCTCACCTGCTGCACAAAAACTACGAAATTTCCCTTCGCTTCTTACAAGGATCGAGCGCAACATAAAAAGCTCTCGGGGCAGTGAGTTTTAGAAACGGCAAGTCGGAAGAAGCGTTGATGAATGCTTCCGCATTATTGTGAAATGATTTATTGAACGTCATCTCTCTCCATTCTCTAAGGGAAATATTACGGCCGTTTAAAATTGTCGGTCTCGCTAACAACGTTTCTTAGAGGATATCAGACGCATGACTCTGCACAACTGACCTGATCAGCTGTATGTAAAGGGGTCTCTATAGCAGGGCTCTCAATTCAACGAGTCATTACATCGCGGGAAATAACGACAATGGCCTGCGGGGGGGAAACAAAATGAAAGAGCAGTTATACAATTCCTTCGCAAAAAGCATTCAAAGAAGAACAATGCGCTTGTGTGTCTGGAAAGATGCAACAGGATCTTTTGTGGGTTAAAAAAACATTCTTTTTTAATCGCGGTCAATCAGAAGTTAGTTTATTTCTTGTTAAGGCTAGTTCTAATCTTTACTCAGATCAGTGCTTAAATTAAACTACCCCAAAAATAACGTTATATACAAATTTGAAGAGAAACATCATTAAATAACACAATGTTTGATGAAAATGTCAAAACTTTCACAACAGAAATCATGCAAAAGTTTCAAAATTTATAATTAATACTGTACTCTTAATTATGTCTCAAAAAGGCTTCATTTTAATACTGACTCTCTATTGCAATATGAAATATATGTAGTTTTTTATGTGTTTTCCAATACCATTAACTATTTGAAAATGTTGAAGAAGCACTATGATAAAAAATGGAATTTCATCAGAGGTATTTACTGATATATGAAGTTGAAACACCGAAAATCAACTTAATAGGTCACGAAATATGCTAATAATTTTTAAATACGTCATGCATTTCTTAAAGAGAAAACGCTTGTCTTTCTTATAGAATGTTGTTACCGCATATTATCTACCGCTATCGCTTTGAAAAGACAAGATAATGTAAATGCCTCGGCATTTTGAAAGGAAAACTGTCACCATCTCAAACAAAGTTTCGTCGAAACGGCCGCTCACCTACAGCAAAGTTATTTATTGATTGAATGATTATTTCGGGTTTCGGTAACTTCTTTGATGATTAGTCCAGTAAATACAGTGCATGTTTTATCACGAGACGTGTCGGAAATCTTGCCCTGCGGTTTGGTGAGATCGGGCGCCGAAATACACGACGGCCGTAAGAGTAGTGGAGTGTGGTAGTGTAGTGCATGTAAGTGTAAGCGTGTGTAATTAAAGCGTTACGATAGGGCAAGGAAGAAAAAGGAAATATCGCGCGGTCAGTGTCCCGTTCATTAGGATACGTCTGCCGCATTCGCCCTGTTTTGATCGGTAAAACCACAGAAAACTACCGATCAGAACAAACAGCTGTTAGAATTCTCCTCCAGTCAGAAGCTGAAATCGACCGAGTTTTCTAGGCAGTGTCGAAAATCCTGCTACCCAACCCTACGATTCAAACCGTAGGTTTTCCCGATCAAAGGCACTGCAATGACATCAGCTGATGCCCCGAGCCACCTCAGTCGGCGCGAAGCTTCTCGCCGAACCCCTCATTGAAATTCCTCCTCCGCTCCCGTTTCTCCGCTCCTTGGAAACGTCTTAATTATTCGTGCGCGTGGGCCACGGCAAAGCGTGCGAGGAAGAGATCCACTTTCGCAGAGAACCGACTCCCACCCGCCCCCACCTCCCCCCCACCCGCCCTACCCCACCCCCGCTTCGCCCCGGCGCTCTCCCCCATCGACGCCCTGTTGATTCCTTTCGCCAGCAGCCCTGCAGCGACGGCAGTGAGCGGCACCCGTCGTGACCCAGGCGGAGGTTTTGGGTGATGGTGAAGGTATGGGTGGAGGCGAAGCGGAGAAGAGTGTGAAGATTGAGGCGGGGCGTAGGTGTGGAAAGGACAGTGAAGGTGGTGTCGTAGGTAGAGAAGATTCCGTGAGGATTAAGATGGAACGAAAGCGGACGAAAAAGTGGAGGCAGAGGTGGAGGTGGAGGTGATGTATTAGTAGGAGTAGTGGCGGAGAGAAGGTGGAGATGGTGAAGAGGGAGCAGGGGAAGAAGTAGATGAGAATATCGTGAGTGAAGATGGGGTGAAAGCAGGCGTAAAAGTGAAGGCAGAGAAAGAGGTGGAGGGTCGAAGGCGGGGGCGGAGACGGAGGCGGGGCAGCGAAACAGGTCACGACTCAGCGCCAGGTGCGTGTTGGGTATCGCCCCTTTTCGGCTCGTCCCCCACACCGCCCCTCTGACTCGCTCGGCTGCACCGTGTCGTCGCTAGGGCTGCCCAAAGTTGCTGTAGGTAATAAAAATTGTTCCCTAGAATACAAGAAAACAAAATATTTAAATAAACTTTTAAATTTAGCAATAGAACCGAACCGAGTTGTGCTACTTTTATTTTCAAAAAGTGTGTATTTATAAGAAATATAAAATATAAAAAGGCCATATTCTTTTTACAGGCCTTGGATAACATGTGAATTAACGAGAATAGCCTTCAATGCAATGTCGGTTTTAGACTAACTGGTGCTTTAACATTTATCTTCATTGCGGTGAAATGTGCAAACAAGTAATTTAAATGCAATTTGTAAGTTTCACACTTCACCACCTATAATTACATTGCAACAACTTTATGAAATTGAAGTAAACAACTATAATGTTTATACTAGATTAATTGAGATATTATCATCGTCATTAGTAATTCAGATTTGCTTTGTCATTTATTTCTCAATTTAACAGATCTATATTATTTATCATCATTATAATATCATCTGTGAGGTATATTAAGATTGAACTCAATTATTTACAAATTCTTACATCTGTAGCAACACCCATCCCATACTTTGAACATCCCTGTGATCTTTTGTCCCCCACCAAATTGGGACTATGCGGCGATGCTTCACTGACTGAATAGCCATGATGTGTAGCCAAACAACAATTACCTGTCGTCTGAGAGATCGGACGCGCGCATGCCTTAACGACAGGTTGAGGCCAATCCTCGTTGGCAACAAACCTATTATACGGAGCGCACAAACACGTCGTGCGCCGGCGTCGCTTGGTCGTTAGAAGGCGCGGGCGAGGCCGCGAGGGCGATGGGCGACTGATCACAATCGCTCGTAAAGTGTCGCAGCGCGCCCGCAGCCTCGTTAGGCGTTCGTTGTTTAGGCGTCAAGATACCACGCGTCCATCAGAGCCTACATTTCGCCTAACGCCTGTCTCATAATTGTTGATCTGTCAGATCACTCTAATACAATGGTTTGAAATTTAAGACGCCGATGTAGCAACATGTGACGTTTTGCTTAACAGCATTACGATTATCAATAGTTAACGAAGAATGACTTGTTATAACAAATAATTAGATAGTATACTATTTAGGCGTCAAGATACTGCG